AACTCCCGACCTCAGGTGATCCACCCACCTTGGCCTCCAAAGTGCTTGGATTACAGGCGTGAGCCACCGCGCCCAGCCCTCTCTGGATATATTTCTATGACCAATCTCTTTCCCTATTCCACCTTCCTAACCAACAACCAATCGAGCAGCTGATGTTTAGTTAGTACTTACTCTGTACAAGACATCACGCCACACTAGATACCAGAGGGGTTACAAAGGTTATAATCTAATTAAGGAAACTGAATGCTGATACAGGGAAGATGTTATGAAATAACACAATATGCTTGGTTCCTGATGAGTGCTCAGAAAAGGCTTCCCAGAGCAGGGAGGCATGGCACTGAACTGTTTTGTTTTTGTTTTTTTGAGACAGTCTCATTCTGTTGCCCAGGCTGGAGTGCCATGGCATGATCATGGCTCATTGCAGCCTTAACTTTCCAGGCCCAAGCAATCCTTCCATCTGAGCCTTCCAAGTAGCTGAGACTACAGGTGTGCATTACCACACCATTCTTTTAATTTATAGTAGATACAGCCAGGCAAGGTGGCTCACGCCTGTAATTCCAGCAGTTTGGGAGGCTGACGAGGGTGGATCACCTGAGATCAGGAGTTTGAGGCCAGCCTGGCCAACATGGCAAAACCCTGTCTATATTAAAAATACAAAATTAGCCGGGTGTGGTGGCACATGCCTGTGATCCCAGCTACTTGGGAGGCTGAGGCAGGAGAATCGCTTGAACCTGGGAGGCAGGGGTTGCAGTGAGTCGAGATTGTGCCATTGCACTCCAGCCTGGGCAACAACAGTGGAAACTGTCTCAAAAATAAATAAATAAATAAATAAAGATGAAATAAGGAGGCTAGTAAAAAGCAATTTTGGCTGGGCATGGTGACTCATGCATGTAATCTCAGCACTTTGAGAGGTCAAGGCAGGCGGATCACCTGAGGTCAGGAGTTCGAGACCAGCCTGGCCAACACGGTGAAATCCCTTCTCTACTATAATACAAAAATTAGCCAGGCATGGTGGCAGGCCCCTGTAATCCCAGCTACTCGAAAGGCTGAGGCAGGAGAATTGCTTGAACCCGGGAGGCAGAGGTTGCCGTAAGCC